GATTCGGATACTCCATCAAAGACTTTGCGCTAATGCCATGTTATTTTACTGATCGATCGGGTCTTTCCTGCTTTCGGTTCTGTCTGTCTGTGCGACGACTGTTTATGCAAATCTCTAGCCTGTTTGTTTGGATTGAGATAACAAACTGAAGCCTAATTTCGGGGATGATTTCTGGATTTTTCCTTCCGCCGACTTATAGCAGAGGCTCTGCCCTGGTCGTATGGTTGTTATGAGAAACGCGCCACACCACTTAGTTGCACCCTCACTCCTCCCTCTCCGTCCCACAGGACAGCCGTTGTCGACGGCGAGTGGAATTTTCCATTCATTGCGCCGCACTTTTATGTCTGCTCGGGCATTTTCCCATTTGGTCTGGCATGGCAGATTGTAGGGCATCCAAGTGGCCGACTACCTACTGCGTCAGCACTTCTGAGGGTCTCAATTTCGGTCTCTCTTCAAGTATCACGTCTATTGGAAATATATCGCATATACGCATGGTACGTCATGTACCACCTTTGACTCTTGGTCTCGTCCCTCAACTGTTTTTTTCGGCTGCTGCGCAAGCGCCAAATGTTCTTCTGTTCTCTTGTTCGGTTCGCGGGGAATGTGCTGCATGTGCACTTCTGTTCTCTGGCTTAAATTCGAGTACTGGACTGCGACTCGGACTCCGATTCCGATTCCGACTCCGAAACTCGGTAACTTTCCACTGCTGCGGCAGAACGAACCCACGCTGGAGTGTGTCCAATGGGAGCAACTCTCTCGGTCCAAAAGCAATTATGCGCAGTTTGCTTTGCCCCACCAGCTGCAACTCTCTCCCTCTCTCACTCTCTCTCTCGCCATGCCTCTCCTTCTATTGAATATTGTATATTGCATCAGCCTGCACTTGAAACTTGAACTACACATCACTCCAGAGGTGCAATACTGACTAGCATAGGGTCACGGTAGCAATAAAGTCGTCTGTTATTCGGACAATCGTCATCAGACTCCTCAATGCAGTATCTAATATCGGCCCGTGACTGACACCAAAAGTATTTGGAACAGGTGACTGGCTTCGATTCGAATATCTCTGATACCTGACGTCTGATATGTGATGTCTGATGCCTGATCATCGCTGAATCGATCATGCAGGGTATGCGGAAATCGAAGTAATCTACTCGGGCTACTACCCCAACGCCTGCACACGTATCTTATCTGTTTGCAAATTGCAGGCGCCCCACTAGCCATGCCCGGAGGCGTTTTCCAACTCCCCCTTTATGGGACAGTTAAAGCCACTGATAGATCTCTCTGTTTGCTAACTGACTGACAGATTGCCGATAATTTTCAATGCAATTGAGCCCTCGGCCACGTGATTTCACATCGAATTCACTTCTCGATTCTCGGCTTACACAGTTTTTCAGACAGACTGTTCTACCAATGCGCTTTTTGTTTGCATTTGTCTAAAATAAATATAAAATTTTCCACTGCAATTTGTTGGCGTTTGCCGTTTTCGTTTTCGTTTTCGTTGTCGATGTCGATGTCGCTGCTTCTGTCATTTCAGTTTCCCCCTCATACTCCCTGTTACCTGTGCCACTTCCATTTCCATTTCCACTTTTCGCTTACATAAGTTCAATGGCACGCCAGGCTGGGGCGTTTGGCGAGCGTTTGGGGCGCTTGGGAGTTGGCTTCGGTTCCCCATTGTTGACAGTTTTAATTAGAAAACTAAACTGAACGGAATGCATGTGCGCCTCAGAATGCTGCGTCTTTTCTGTTTTAGTCACTGCTGCAGCGGGATCGTGACCGTCATCGCGATCGCGATCGTGATCGTGTTAGGGGTGGATTGATTTGGTTAAGAAAAAGACGTCACCCTTCATAGATTCGTCATGAGTAGAGTAGCGGGCTTAAAGTCTTGAGAGTATGGGATTACTTAGAGATTTCTACGATTCCTTATCGCCGCCGCTATCGCAAAGAGAAAGATCGGGAAATACCTGCCATAAAAATCAAGTCCATGAAATGGCAGTGACGGATGAGTAGGGCAGATGGGTTGTAGGCACACCCAGAATATGTATGACTCAGTAGAAGTGTGAACTTCTAGGAATCTCTATTGAATAATCTTGCGTTTATAGATGTTTTGGGCTTGAGTGGTTGTTTGTTACTAAATTTTGAGTAGTATGTATCTATCAATTTCGTGATAGCTTGTAATGATTCTATCTGCAATTGAGATTCCGTAATGGTTCCGTGCATTTCGTGCTTCTCTTACGTAAAAGCAGATCCGATCCGTACCGATACAATCTGAACAGATAGTAGCCCAAAGATCCCTTGGGTGAAATCCGCTCGCATTTTCACCCGTTTCGTTCCCCGTTGGACTTTTATCATTATCTCATTATCAATGCTGCTCCCCTCTCCCGCTCCACCGCTCTCTGCATTCGTCACACATTTCGCTATGTTAACTGCACTTGACGCCATTTTGAACCCGAAGTGCGCCAGCGACACGTGTGGTTGCTGCTGCTACTGCCGCCACTTCAGTCTCGTCTCCGCGTCCGCTATCAGAGAGAGCGCTTTCAGAGAGCGGACGCCAGCTATGTTTACATTCTTCTTCGAACTCACAATTCTCCCCTCTCTCTCTCCTGAAGCCAGCTCGCAGCTACTTAGAGCACCAGAAGGGTGCTTGCAATTGGGAAATTGAATAACAAATGATATTGCGAATAAGTGAGCGGCACGATTAGTTCGCATTGCAGCTGTCCAATTATTATGCCCGCTTTGTCTATTTATTTAACTTTTCCTTTACGCATTTGCAGCGCTATTTTGCTCTTTTCTATGGTTTACAGTGGATGCCATCTGAAGCGTAAAGAGGTTGGGATCGGGGAAGCTTTTGGCATGTGGGCACATGTTTCAAACTAGCTCAGCAAATTTGGGTCTTGTCTCTAGGGGGAAGTCAATGAAGCGTGAAGAAACGCCTTTGAAGATTATATTTCGGAATATTAGCATTTTGTGTTTGAACTTTTGTGAGCATGATCCCAGTGACCAATATATTTCTTCAAGCATATGTATATATTTTTAAATCGGTAGAAATCCGTCCTGAAAACCATACAAATACCTAAAAAATAATTTCCCCATTCCACATGAAATTTTTCATTTAATATATGTACATTTAAAGTGCGGCTAACGGCTATTTTTATCAATACCCACATATTATGGAAAAGCATTCTTCTTAGAGCCTTAAAATATAAAGATTCATTATTTTTACCGGATTCTACATGAGTTTTTACATTACCAATACTTTTTAAATGTATCTATACATGGCGCGCCGCGACGTTTACATAGCTATGTTAAGCTACCGGCTAACATTACCGGTTAACAGTCGTCTCCTCTGCTTGATCGCCACTAACCGTTTCGAGCTTTCCCATGCATTTGCTAGGTGGCGCCACGACAACCCGCCAGAATACAAACAATTCAAAAATACCAGCGACAAAAATTAACAATCAACAACTTTTATTGGATCCAATTTGCTGATTTAAAAAAAAAACTAAAAAAGACGCGACTATTTGCGAATATTTTGCGCTGACTTTTTTGCGGCTTTTTGCACGTACATATTTTGCACAAATTCGCAGTTTCCTCATTAATTTTCTGTTTACGTCGCACCGTTTTATTTTCACCGCTGAAAACGAGCGGATTCCTAAACACAATTTATATAAAACACGCCCGCACTCACCCCTTTGTATCAATTTTTGTGCGGCGATCACGTGTGGGGAGGTGGGGGGTTGGGGAGGCACTGACTGGCGTGACGTCATTCTGCGACTGCACCCAAAAATCGGTGAACTTGCGACGCTTCCCCACCCCCACATTTTCCACTCGAGAGGCACAATGGCTAGTAGAATAATGCTCGTGGGAGCCCCGTCGAGAGAGAGAGCCATCTCCTGGTCTGGGGCTGGCATGGGAGGGCATGGGACGGAAGGGGGGCGCTTTGGTTTAGTTTGTCGCCGTCATTACACCGCTGCTGGTTCGCTGGCTGTATGGCTGTGAGGCTGCCTTGAAATTCAGTTGGTTGTCGCCGTTTGAAAGAGTCACGCGCTGGGTCTGCATCTCCGCCCACCTCCTGACCAAAGGCCATCGCGTTACCTGCTGGAATCTCTCTCTCTCTCTGTCTCTCTCCCCTACTCGCTCTGTCTCTGTCAAGGTCTCTCTTTTGACCTTGGTCCGGAAGTCGTCAAGCTGAGCGCCCCCGCCGGAAAACCGCCCCTGCCGCCGCGTCGCGAGCAGCAGCCCGAGGCTGGCATGAGCCTTAATAGCTTCGGGCCCGGGTCGGGGTCGGGGCGAAAGCGGGACGGACGTGTGTCCAGTGTCGCGCTTAGTCGTCACAAGCTGAAGATGTCCTTGAAGCGGGGTGGCCCCCCGCCGGCGGCGTCGAGTGGAACGGCGGTGATGACCACATCGCTGGATTCTGTGCAGCAGGTGCAGCAGAGGGCGCGATCGAAAGCCTGAAACACACCACCTACCGCACCCACCCCACCTACCCATCCCCGCGTCGTGGCGAGGCCTAATGCTCAGCACACAATACGATGCGGCAATGCTGCAAGAGTTGTTAGGATATTGGCAAAACGATCTAATAATTTGTGCGATGATTTCTGTGGTCATAAAACTGCATTGAACTTGTTCATTGATCTTGTTTGCGTATTTTTCTAATTTGCTATTTGGCAAGCGATATTTTCGTCTGTTTCTCGGCTGCCACTGCCACTGCCACTTCAGAGAAAGATGCAGATGCAAAGGCAGATACAGATACAGATACAGATGTAGATGCAGATACAGATACAGATGCAGATGCCGATAAAGATACAGATAAAGATACGGATAGTTTTAGATGCAATTTCGGTTGCAGCTGCGAAGAGCTTTACATAATTCCCACTCTGCGATGGGACGCTCTCTTGTTGTCTCCTGCTCTTTGCCTCGCACCTTATTCATCTGGCATTCCTTTTTCACCCACTCTTTCTCTTTCTCTCTCTCTCCCTCTCTCTGCCTCTCTCTCGTAGAAAATCCCCACGGTTGTGTCGAGCGGCTATGACAGCGAGAAGCCCCAAGGCGGCAGGAACAACGCGAGCATAGGCCAACCCAAGTGAGTATATCCGCCAGTCGGATCGGATTGAATCGGATCGCCCCGATCATTCGATCAGTCGATGCCTCAGGCAGCGGCAGTGTTGTTAGCAAAGTGCACGGCGGCGCGATGTACAAGAACATTGACAACGAGTCCTCCACGACCATGTTTGAAATGTACTCCTCTTCGGACAGGTTCATCCGTTCGGACATGGCTGACGTACCCGTCCAGCAGGCGGCTGGCTCCACCCTGCCACTGGTGATCACGCGCAAGAAAGGCGGCGGCGACTCCGATGATGGCAACTACAATCCCTTCGAGCACCGCAAGGTGGAGCATCCCACATCGTAAGTGCCACCCCAATGTTACCACCTTACATTATATAAACAGCAGATGATCGCTTACGGCGGGCGGCCCTCCTCAATGACTAATCGCATTAATTATACGCTCTGGTGACCCACCCGCCCGCGTCATTGACCTTTTCCCATTGCGAAAGCCGAAGAGAATATAACGGAAATTCAATTTCGTTGCCATTGTCCTTGGTCTCTTGGCTTCCAAACTAAAAATAAAAATAAAAATAAAAATAAGGTAAATTCGCAAGGAAAATCTCAGGCGAATGAAAAGAAAACGCAGAAAGAAAACGAGAAGCCTCGCCAAATGTTTTGCTCGACTCGTTTATCGTGTGGAATGAGGAACGCTGCTCTCCTAATCACCCACCCGTCCCCTTCACACCCATACGCCCTCTCACGCCCTCTTACGCCCGACGTTTGACGCCTGACGAGAGCAAACGCATCCGCACGGCCTTGCATCAAGAGATGATGCATGAGAGACCGGGCGGTGGGTGGAGGAGGCGTGCAGTGGCTATTTTCGGCTATGTCCACGAAAATCACTATTGACCAAAGCTTTTGGGCGCATGCCTTCGAAATTGTTTTGCTATGGAATAGGCCTGTTATGTGCAATTTCCATTTGTGCGCCACATCAGCTGCTCCCCACTGCAGGGGGCTTTTCCAACGAAAAACGTGATTCGCCCACGTAAAATGTATTCGATTTTTGACAGCAAAATGCGGCGCCCATTAACCTTTAGAATATATTGATCGCACATATGTTAATTTATTATTTGATTCGAATTTCCTTAGGGATCTGGAGACATTTGTGCATCTGCTGAAGGGCTCCCTGGGCTCGGGCATCCTGGCCATGCCCATGGCCTTCTCACATGCGGGTCTGTGGTTCGGCTTAGTGGCCACTTTCGCCGTAGGAACCCTCTGCACCTATTGCGTGCACGTCCTGGTGAAGTGCGCCCATATCCTGTGCCGTCGACGCAAGATTCCGATGATGGGATTCGCAGACGTGGCCGAACAGGCCTTCTTGGATGGTCCTCCTGCGCTGAACCGCTGGTCCCGCTTCATACGCTTCATGGTGAACAGTTTTCTGGTGCTAGATCTGCTTGGCTGCTGCTGCATCTACCTGGTGTTCGTGGCAACCAACGTGGAGCAGGTGGTGAGCGTCTATCTGGAGACCGTGCTGAGTGTACGCGTCTGGATTATGATTGTGACCGTGCCGCTGATCTTCATGTGCCTGGTGCGGAACCTCAAGTTCCTTACGCCCTTCTCCATGATCGCCAACATCCTGATGTTTGTGGGCATTGTTATCACCTTCATCTATATGTTCACCGACCTCCCGGCTCCCGCTGAGCGCCCCGGCCTGGTAGCCGTCTCGGAGTGGCCCCTCTTCTTCGGCACCGTGATCTTCGCCCTGGAGGGCATCGGCGTAGTGATGTCCCTGGAGAACGACATGAGGAACCCCACTCACTTCATCGGCTGCCCCTCCGTGCTGAACTTTGGCATGGGTCTGGTCATTGCCCTGTACACCCTTGTGGGCTTCTTCGGCTTTCTTAAGTACGGTCCCGACACACAGGCTAGCATTACGCTTAACCTGCCCCTGGAAGACAAGTGAGCTACCTAATCTATAATTCTTAGAACATCCAAACTCATCCAAAATACTGTTCTTTGCCTTGTCTGCAGATTGGCTCAGTCCGTGAAACTGATGATTGCCATTGCCATCTTCTTTACCTTCACGCTGCAGTTCTACGTGCCCATCTCGATCCTCTGGAAAGGGCTGGAGCACAAGATCAGACCAGAACGCCAGAACATCAGCGAGTACGGACTGCGTGTGGCGTTGGTGGTAAGCTATGATGCTTAATCTGCTTTTGGAAGCGTCTGCTGAAACTGTTATCTCTTTCAGGTGCTGTGCGGAGGCATTGCCGTGGCGTTGCCCAACTTGGGGCCCTTCATCTCGCTTATTGGAGCCGTGTGCCTCAGTACGCTGGGCATGATCGTGCCGGCGACAATCGAGCTGGCCGTGTACCACGAGGACCCCGGCTATGGACGCTTCAACTGGCGGTTGTGGAAGAACTCGGGCCTGATACTGTTCGGAGTGGTAGGCTTTGTGGCCGGCACATACGTGAGCATCATCGAATTCCATGCCGAGTTCAGTGGCGGCCATTAAGCCTCCGCCTCGTGGGGCCGCGCAGCTTATTGCTAATTTAATTTAAATTAGTCTTAAATGAAACTCGTCTAAGCACAGGGATGTCTAAGTTAAGTTTTTAACTAATTTTAGGGCTAACCAAAGTTTTCTAGGACTCTAAACTTCCTGTCTCCCCATGTGGTTATCCTGCTTCCCCTTTTCGTCCTGCTCCTCTTTCTCTTCCCTTCACTCCTTTCAACTATCCCCCCATGCCCCATTAGCCCCAGCTGCAAACCGAAAGGAAACTCTTACAAACAACAAAAGTATTTCGATTTAGTCGATGCCATGTTCACCACGCGGACGTGGCATTAAGCTTACTTAGGAATTCTTCTAGAAGTGATTTTGTATCGTAGTGATTTTGAAAACAACTTAGTCGTAATTTAGTTCCTACTCTCGTTGTTCGAACTAGGCCAAGACACATGGACGGACGCAGCCAAAATTTGTTGCTTCTGCTCGTCTATTTTTTTTGTTTTTTTTTTTTCATATACTGTACATTATATACGCCCTATTTCAATAATCATGACATATTATCCAATACACAAAGACCCGTTGCCCCTCACTGGCTCAATAAAGCCCAGGGGCAACAGAAAATCGCATTAAAAAAATAATAAAATCTTTGAAAACCACCCAATGGTCAATTATTTGAGCTATAACTCGGCTGAATAGCGGTTGATCTGGGCGTGGCATGACTTTTCGTGATGGGGAGAGTCCTGCCAACCGATTGGCATCAGAAAACAGGACATCCAGCTTATCACGATTTTCGCAAAAAGTCATGATGGTTACATCATTGAATTTGCCAAAAATCGGCCTCATTTTCGTAGTCGAGATTTTGACGCCGTTCGACAGGCTGGATCCTTGCGATCCTGGCCGAGTCGGTCCTTCGCCGATCTGGCCCTATTTGCCTGAGATATAGCCTTCCGAAGATTGTGATTTGCGTATCTTTAAGATACTGGTTATTTCTGCAAGCTATATCTCGGCTACACAGCGGCCGATCGGGGCGAGGCATGACTTTTTGTGATGGGGAGAGTCCTGCCAACCGATTGGCATCAGAAAAAAGGACATCCAGCTTATCACGATTTTCGCAAAAAGTCATTGAATTAGCCAAAAATCGGCCTCATTTTCGTAGTCGAGATTTTGATGCCGTTCGACAGGCTGGATCCTTGCGATCCTGGGACAGTTGGTCCTTCGCCGATCTGGCCCTATTTATATGAGATACAGCCTTCGGAAGATTTGGATTTACGCTTCATGGAAATACTGGGTTTTTCTGTACGCTATATCTCGGCTGAAGAGCGGCCGATCTGGGCGTGGCATGACTTTTCGTGATGGGGAGAGTCCTGCCAACCGATTGGCATCAGAAAACAGGACATCCAGCTTATCACGATTTTCGCAAAAAATCATGATGGTTACATCATTGAATTTGCCAAAAGTCGGCCTCATTTTCGTAGTCGAGATTTTGATGCCGTTCGACAGGCTGGATCCTTGCGATCCTGGGACAGTTGGTCTTTCGCCGATCTGGCCCTATTTGTCTGAGATATAGCCTTCGGAAGATTTGGATTTACGCTTCAGGGAAATACTGGGTTTTTCTGTACGCTATATCTCGGCTGAAGAGCGGCCGATCTGGGCGTGGCATGACTTTTCGTGATGGGCAGAGTCCTGCCAACCGATTGGCATCAGAAAACAGGACATCCAGCTTATCACGATTTTCGCAAAAAATCATGATGGTTACATCATTGAATTTGCCAAAAATCGGCCTCATTTTCGTAGTCGAGATTTTGATGCCGTTCGACAGGCTGGATCCTTGCGATCCTGGCCGAGTCGGTCCTTCGCCGATCTGGCCCTATTTGTCTGAGATATAGCCTTCGGAAGATTTGGATTTATGCTTCAGGGAAATACTGGGTTTTTCTGTACGCTATATCTCGGCTGAACAGCGGCCGAGCTAAGGGTGGCATGACTTTTCGTGATGAGCAGAGTCCTGCCAACCGATTGGCATCAGAAAACAGGACATCCAGCTTATCACGATTTTCGCAAAAAATCATGATGGTTACATCATTGAATTTGCCAAAAATCGGCCTCATTTTCGTAGTCGAGATTTTGATGCCGTTCGACAGGCTGGATCCTTGCGATCCTGGGACAGTTGGTCCTTCGCCGATCTGGCCCTATTTGTATGGGATATAGCGATTGCTGTTTTTTTCTATATGCTGTATCTCTGCTATACGGTGGCTAGTTGGGGAGAGGTATGTCATTTCGTGATCGGGGGACATCCTTGATGGAGTCCTTATCGAGGATTAATAATATTGTGTCCCCTCAGTACATATGACTTACTTTTCTCCACCATTTTATTCCGATCAGGTCGTGCCCCAATCAGGTCGCTAAGGCTGCGGCGTTTCTCGTCCAGTTTGGACATTTCTTGATTAATCTGGTCCCCTGCGACCATGCCTACAACCTTTTGTCCTATGTCCTTAGCGAAGACATTCAGTCGTCATTTTTGATAAGCATCTCTCATGACAAGTGCGTGCAAAATGCAGATAGAGAGATCGCGAAGAGATCTCCCCAGCCCACATGAGCGAACAAATCAATTCTGATTATAACCGAAACTGATAATTCTGATACTGACTGAGTATCGGGTATAAGTGTAATTGTATTTATTTATTTAATTTTTTATTTGGAGGCCGTTCTGAATCTTCCACGCCTTCTTGTGATCGAAAAAAAACCCCTTTGATCAGTCCGATGATCAGTTGATGATGATGTCAAAGTTTGTCCTCCATCTCTAACGACCCTGCAGACTCCTTGGTCATCATCGAAGTTGATCGCGGTGCTCCTGGGCGATGTCGTCACGTAGGCTGCGCGGATCCCTTTGCGCACGAAGTAATACTGACTCTGGAATCGCATTATAAACATTAGATTGGGAGGAAAGACAGTCCATGACTACGCTTACCACATTTATCGGTCACAGGGGAGTATCACACTCCACGGAAAAAGACCTAGAAAGTATTTAAATGAGAAAGAAAGAAGTTCTTGTGGAGAAACTGTCCGCCAATTCCTTAATGATGTTGTTGGGATTCCGGTTAACAATCGCTAGCATTTAAATTTATTTCCTCAAAATCTATTTCACAGTGTGAGGCTAAGACTCCACCTATGACTTGGGGACCTTGAGCCCTATTGACATTTCCCAACGCCTACTCGACGGCGGAAGATTTGCTTTGGCTGAATGTTTGTTTGCGCACAGGGCAAACAATCCAAGCACTTGATAGCGGCGATAGCGGATGAACAACAGTTCGCAAGCGAATTGGCAACAATTCGCGAGCTTTCCCACGCTACTCCCAAATTAATATGTGATATGAGGCGCTGAAAGCAGAAGCGATATGATACGACACGACACAACCCACCAAGAAAGAGCAGCGAGGAAACGTAGGAAACCCAATGCGAACTCAAGTCGACGAAAGATAAGATATTTATCCAGGTGCTCGCTCGCAGCTCCATGCTCCGGCTCCGGCTCCGGCTACGGATCAGGGCTCTGGGCTCTGGCTTCCTCCTTCTCTCGCAATCGTAATCACCCACAAAAAGTGTTGGCGAAAAGGCAAACGAGGAGCCGAGCCGTCGAGCGAGCGAGCAATAAAAACACGAAAAGGGAAATGTGCAAACGCAATTCAATCCCGCGTCCAACTGAAAACTGAACCGTGAGAAAATTACACCCACAGATAACACACAGCCAACGCCACAGTCAAGGGCCAGGGCAAGAGTAAGAGCAAGAACGAGAGCCGTAGCCATAGCCATAGCCATAGCCAGACCGCATCCACAAGATACTTTACTGCAGCGATAAGCGTTTTGCATTGTGACGCAATATGAGGTTGAGGTTGCTTGAGTGTGTGCACAATTGAAAAATTACTGTTTGCCCAGCGAGAGTTTAAAGTTCGTTCCCCAACCAAATTGTATCTCTCGCATACACACACACACACACACGCATCGATAAGGGGCAGCGTGTGAACCCAATCAGAGACCCACTGATTGACCATGCGTGGGTTGTGGACTGTGGACTGTGGACTGTGGGTTGGGGGTAGGGGGTTGAGGCATGACCATGTGCACCTCTCACGTGTCGTACTCTCTCCTTAGGTAAATCAGAAGCAGGCGTCCATCGTGTGGCAAGAGTATCTATCTATCTATCTATCTGGTATCTATGATCCTCCAGTAGGCAGTGGCCGCTTTGATGACCCATCTGATTAACCTTTGTCTAGTCATTGACTCGTCGCATAAATCCACCGGGCTTCGTTTTCGATTTGAACTCCTGTTCATCTGCAATTTATGTTTGACTGCTGCCCAAATCGATTCGTTGCGCTTCGATTTCTATGGCCAAGTTTATGGCCATTCCGCTTCCGCTATCCCCTATCCCCTTTCCCCTTTACCACCATCCCCCACCATCCACCTGTGCCTGTACCTGGGGCAGTGGCCTGATCGATGCACAGATAAATGGCATTTTATTAGTTGGCTACTTACTTGGCTTACTGGGACCGTAAGTCGTCGCAGCAGTCCCCGAAAGCAGTCGAGAGGCAGTCCAGTCGTCCATAGAGCTGGCAGCTTAATGTCAGTGGCACAATGTTTGGGCCATGTTTATTGGGATTAGTTGCTTAAAATTATGACCAATTTGTCGGGGTTCAATGAGATGCAGCAGCAGCACCACCAGCAGCATCACCAGCAGCAGCAGCAGCAGACATCGCACCAGCTATGCATCCACTTTTCTACATTCAAGTCAATTGCATGCAAAGCGAGCCCCCCCCCCTCCACACAGGGGATCGGGATTGGGATTGGGGCAGGTCCGTAGCTGTGGCAGGGACTGACTCTGACTATGACTCTGACTCCCATAACCCATAGAAGGCGCTGCTCGCGCACTTATTTTGCGTACATTTTTGGCCACAAAAATAAAATTAAAGCCTTAAACAGATAATGCGCTATCAGCAGACGGACAGACCGAACAGACAAACAGACACTGCCTGCATTCAATGCAAATCTCAATGAGCCTAGGGGGCAGGTTAATGGAAAATTTATAATGCCAGGCGGGCCATAAATATGCCACATCCACCCACATATTGTGTCGCCCCACAAGCGATAGGTACACACCAGTTTCCAGCGTCCAGCGTCCAGCGGCCAACGTCCAGTGCCAAGTGGAGGGGAGTGCAGTACCCATTCCTGGCCCAGAGATCTCTGCGAACGAGAGGCACACATTTTGTGTGGGAAATATAAAAAACGTTGTAATTTGCAGTTGACAAATACGCAAAAACTCCTTACCAGATCCGGGCTCTAGAAATTAACTCATATTGCAGCATGTTGCAAGTTGCAAGCAGTGGAGGAGTAGGCTGGGGAGCAGCAGCAGGAGCCGGAGTCGGAGTCGGAGCATCAGGCACAGGGGCAGCAGGAGCAGGAGCAGGAGCAGAAGCAGAGCAGCAGCATACCCAAATGATTTATGCCCGCAGTGCGGCCTACGAAAATCTGTGGCAAGCTCCAGCCGTCCGGCAGTGTCGGAGGAACGGGAGCAAACAATAGCCAGGGGTAGTGGGAGGTGCGTTGCACTATGGAGAGAGTGTTTCCCCCTCCCTCCGCTGCAGACCATCACAGTCCATTGCTGGCTGCAGTCCACGGACGGAGGCTCCTCTTCCTTCATCGCCTACCTGTTGTGGCTGCGCCCCAGGCTGCAATTGTCTGCTTAAAAGCGTTCATTCTGTCCACAATGAAGCCACATAACTTGGCCGCAGTTACTCGTACCCGCCTGCCCCTGCCACACTGTTCTCCACCTCCACTAGCCTTCCTTCGATGTGATGATTTATTGTGGCTGCGCCTCCAGCCTCCATCCTCCATATGTCCCTCCCCGGTCCCAGTTGTAGTCGCCGTCCCAGTCCCAGTCCCAGTCCCAGTCGCAGTCGCAGTCCTCGTCCCAGCACGGTAGCTGTGTTCCCCGCTCTGGTCTCCTCCTCGTCGCAGCAGTCCGTGCGCCTGGATTGAAACTTTATTTAATAAGTTGATGTTATTTGTTAACTGGCAAAAGGGCTATACTTCACTCTACTGTGCTCCCAGATCTCCTGAATAGTTGGCCAGAGTATGAGTTCTAATGCTGCTCCTCCTGCTGCTGCTGCTGCTGCTGTTGCCTTTGCTGTGCCACAGCATGGGCCATAAATCAGCTGGCGGCCAGTGGCGTGGGTCGATGGTTATCCCAGAGTTCATTAACGAATGCACTTGACCCACACAGAGAGGGGGGGAGAGAGAGAGAGAGAGAGAGAGAGAGAGAGAAGTGCGGTGTACAGTACTCTCTTTACCTCTGTAGAGTGTAGAGTGCTTGATTTCTCGAGTAATTTGTGCGTAGATGCACTCGCCCGTGTCAATTGCATTGCATTAGAAAGGCAACAGAGAGCCAGCAGAGAGGCGACACTGCCGTGGCGGCCTGCCACTTTAATCCGTGCCGCACAGCACACTTGCTGACAAATTGCTGATAAATAAAGCGAGAGATTTGCAATAATGCCTTTCTAATTTCATGCGTCGCGTCGCCAGCGGCTCTCGGCTCCGCTGCTCCGCTGCTCCTCCGCTCCTTGGGCATGCAAAGCGCACAAAAAGCACGGACTCGGACTCGCACTCGGACTCGCAGCCTGGCATGGAGCATGGCATGGCGCCTGCCTCCATTGAGATCGAATCCGAGCCTCTGTGGCTCTGGCTCTGAGTTTTAAACATTTTCCACACGTAATGCGAAAGTTTGAATCATTTGTCCAGTGCACTACGCAGCGATTTTCATTTAAAATTCTTGTCACAGACATGTAATTGCAACGCGCCAACCAACGTCGATGGCGACGACAACGATTCCAAACTCTGACTCCAGCGCCAGGTCCCAGCTTCAGTTGCAACTCCAGCTCCAGCTCCAGCTCCAGCTGCAACTCCGATGCGGACCAGAGGCGGATCTATAGGCTATTGACAATGCGTTTGTCAGGCTTTGCCCCTCCCTCCATCCATGTTGCAGCTCTCTGTGTTGACACAGATAAGTGCGTGGCGTGGCGGCGGCATCAGCCATCGGCCATCGGGCATCGGGCATCGGGCCATCGGGCAGCGATAAGTAGCGTTTTATGCATTAATTTTTGCCTCAAAAGAGCATTATTTATTACGCATTAATGCGCTGAATTAACGTTTATTTAATTAATATTAATGCCGCTGATATTACTGTTGAAGTTGTTCGATGTTGCAGTTTACTGTTGCTGCAACAAAAGTTGCACTGCAGTGGCCTGGCATTTGTGTCATACATAGATAGATTTTGGGCCAGGAAAGCCTCTTTTTTCACTCATTTATGGCTGAAATGCAGAAAGAGGTCTTAGAGCAGAAGGAGAATGAGTGATGGACATACATACATACCTCCTAATTGCGGTGTGGCGATCCTCCCCCTTCGCCCTTCCAGCAGGGGCCTCTCCACAGGTCAAGGCCTTTATCGTTCTGCCCCTTCCTTCCTTCCTCCGGCGTGTTTGTCGTTCCGCGCTGACCCTTAAGTTGTGCAAATATTTTAACAGAAATCGAACTCAAATTCCGTCGCGGAGGTTGCTGCTGCTGTTTTTGCTGTTGCTGCTCTGGAAATTTGAAAATTGAAATTGAAATCGAAATTGAAAGGAAAGTCGCGGGGCAAATATATCAGAAACACGCTCGAGTTCGAGTATATCTTAAAGGAAGCAAATATTTACAGGAGGGGCAGCAGCGGTCGAGAGGGAGAGGGAGAGGACGTGGGTGATAAGGAGAGCCCGTGAGTAATCCATCAGTGTCTCAGCAACGGGGGCGGAGATGGGGATGGGGATGGAGGTGGCGGCGGTGGTGGTGGAGGTGGAGGTGGGGGTGGAGTACCCTTTGGGCTGCAATAAACCCAATAATTTATAGACCAATCACGGACACGGACACAGGCACACGCACTACGAAACAAGTGGAAAAATCATAGTCCAAAACACACATAACGCATTAGACAGAGAGAGGTGCATTTGTGGGGTAGGGTAGGGGGAGCGATTTATAGGATGGCCATGCCAATAGACACCGCACAGCGGGTTGTCGCGTCTCCGAGAAGAAGGAGAATCCCAGTCCCAGCCCCAGCCCCAGTCCCCAGCATCGCATCGCATCGCATCGTCTCATTGCCAATTGATTTATACAAACGGCAAAGCAACGGAACACAAATTGGTTGCCTCGAAGAGATCTCTCTCCCTCTCCACTCTACACTCTCCACGAAAAGATGGACCTGGACCTGGACCTGGAGCTGGGAGTGGAGCTACGGGAGATGATTTGTTGCACTTTTGTTGCAATCACAGTCGCAGTCGCAGTCGCAGTCGCCTTTGCTGTTGCAGTTGCATACGCAGAACGCTGTTCTCTTCTGCTGCTTAACCTTTTGAACTCCACGCAGTCTGTGCTGCTGGGAGGGATTGGATGCGATGCGATGTGATGGAACCCCTGCACACGTGTTGCAGCACACAATTCAGTGGAAATCATTAGGCCAAAACCAAACCCCAGCGGGCCGAAGCGGGAGAGATTGAATCGGGCCTGGCCAGGCCTTCGCTTTGCATGCTGCCTGCGTAGCTAATTAGAGCCATAAACTGGCACTCGTTTATAGTGCGAGATACGAGTACACCGGTGTACACCGGTACACCGATCCACACAATCCCCCGGCGGATTTGATGGCGGACACTGGACATCGCGGACATCGCGGACATTGGCGGAAAGTGAGATTTGTCGGGAGGCGTTGGCAAAAAATGCCACACAAATGACAGACAGACAGACAGACAGGCAGACAGCAAACAAATGTTGACCGTTTTTGGTGATGTCGGGATTGTCAGTGGCATCGGGAATCCGAGGCGGCGGTGGACTGTGGGCCAGCCATGGGGCAGCAGAGGGGCAACAGAGGCAGCGGCAACACCAGTTTATCAAGCCAAAAGACCCAAAACAATAAATTACGCAATCCAAATGCTCAACTGCAGTCCATCAATGGCATAATGAGGCAGGCAGCGGGCGAGCAAGAGCCAGAGCCAGAGCCAGAGCCAGAGCCGGAGACGACTCCGAGTCCGACTCTGAGTCCCGAGTCGCAGAGGCAAGTCCCAGCGTAGAGATGCATTACCATATCGGCATAAATTCCGGAGCACATCGTTAAGTGGGCTGACGAGTGCCACCAGACACTGCCGCAGAAAACAGGCTCGAGAGCAGGTTGCATGCCACATGCCACTGCCCATGCCACATGCCAGGCTGCCAGGCTGCCCGGCTGCCCGGCTGCCAGACGTCCAACTTCCAGACTCTTGGCCACCTAATGAGGGAATTACCGGCCAATGCCGATGCCGATGCCAATGCAACAACGTCATCGATAATGGTCTTCTGTGGCTGCCCCTTGTGGCACCTGCAGACACAAGACTGCCCCTGCCCCTGCCTCTGCCTCTGCCTCTGACTGCTCGGCCGCCCGCCTGCCCAGTGGGTGGAGTGTTGCACTTGACCTTTAACATTGCGGATGGCGCCCCAGCTCCAGGGGGATGGAGGATGACGGATGGATGTCTTACAAGGAGAACGAAGCCCAAGCTCTTCAATCATTTAATTGCGCTGCCTAAAATCGTGTTCAAATACATTTGCGGCAAGAGTGCTGTCCGACGCCGATAAAGTGGTCTACTTGCTGTGATCGCCGTACTCCTTGATCATGTCCATGACGGCAAGGATGCAGCCGTAAACCAGGATCACTGTGCCAATGATGACAATCAGGATGTTCTTGACGAGCTTCCATCGCAGCTTGCCGTAGGTGTAGGGGGCATGGTAGTTGAGGCACATGTCGATGCAGGCCGGAAAGATGAGGTTCAGCAGGGAGATGGTGAAGGCCCCGACCAGGGCCAGCAGGGGCCCCAGATCGGGGAAGGCCACCGCATTGACGGTGCACACAAGGACGAATAACAGCCGGCAAATGTACTCCATCCGATGCGGATTGTTCAGCTTGCCATTCCGATCCAGATAGTGATTGAGTATGATGTCGATGGTCACGTAGCCGGAGAGGGGGAAGGTCAGGAACACGGCCATGCTAATGCAGACCTTGGACACCTGCGCGGGTCTATAGGGGATTACTGGGACTGCGGCTGAGATTGAGGTGCGATCTCTGGTGCTCCACTCACATTTCATCGTTGGGCAGATCGAGGGTGATACTGCCGTGCACGGACTCCCCATAGCGCCAGTATCCCATGATGGCAAAGATCAGGTAGGAGATGACGACCACAGCCGAGGCCAGATTGAGGACGCCGAACCATCCGATGTACTGCTCCGGATAGGTCATCTTCGACTCAATGGCCAGCATCTGCGGGGAGCACAAGGCACAATTACCCAGAGCCCAGTCGAAGGGAGAAAGCCCTTGAAGCACCTACCACTCCCACAGAGCTCACGGAGAACAGGGCAATGCCGAAGAAGAGAGGCAGCTTCGAGGGCTCTTTGAACGCATCACGCTCCGAGATTGGCGGCAGGTTCTGGAACAGGTAGTAGAAGATCAGGAAAAAGCCCAGATACATCGAAATGTTGGCCGCCAGATTGAAGGGCACCAGATTCTTCAGATGGCGGATGAGGAACAGCGGAACCGAGAGTATACCCACGAACACAATGAAAATCCACAGATCAATGACCTTGATATAGTAATCCGACAGCTGCTTGACATTGACCGACACAAACACGAGGTAGACGACACACACGCCGTAGTGGGAGAAGGCCAGGACCCCATCCACCAGGTAGCCCGAGGCCTTGGAGCAGTACCTGCACCAATTGGGGCCCTGGTTGAAGGCGTACTCCATCGTGTCGGGAAAGTTGCAGTAGCCCTGCTCCTGCCGCCGTGCGGACTCCACCATGCAAATGATCTACGAAGTACCACGCGGGGAGGGGGATAAGAGGAGGAATGGTATGCTATGGTTTGGGCTCTTCACTCACCAGCAGAGTCATTCCATGGATCAGGAGTATCGTAATCAGAACGAGGAGTATGCCCCCATTGAGCCATCCCGAATAGGAGAAGGCCAGCGGGAGGGCCAGGATTCCTGTTCCAATGACACACTTGAGGAGAGACACAAAGGCACCCACGTTCCTGTTGAAGAAGGAAGCAGAAGGATTGATTTATAGGGGAGTTTCGAGAGGGTTTTACAATGTGGAGCAAGGATTTCTTACGACATTGTGACTTCCACATCGCGATGCTCGTAAGGATTGTAGTCACTGCAATAAGAAGAGGAAACAGAGAATAGAACAGATCTTCAGAAGGATACAGAGACTTCTTCTACCTATTCGCCATTTGGAGTTCAATGAATTTTTATTTGAAAAGAATAAACTATGTGTAATGATAGATAAGAAATGGGGTACTTAAGTATTAGGGAAAAACATGACAGAGAAATTTTCATGTCACTATGGGATATGCTTCATTCAATTCCTTCACCGAGATCACTGTACCAGAGATCCCCCCGCAAAGGCCCAACACGAGGAAGAAGAGGGACCGCCAGAGCAGGATCTTGCCATAGCCATAGCCCTGGCTGTACAGCACACACATGTTCACGATTCCCGGAAAGATGAGCCCCAATTGTGCCAGGCAGAAGGATCCCACAAAGGAGAGGAGCAGCCCAAAGTCCGGATAGCCAATGGCCACCAGTACAGAGGCAATCACGAGGGCAAGGCGCACCAGATACTCCACGGATCGCCCTGAGGCAACATTCTCCACCAGCTTGGGCCGCATGTATCCCCGCCAGATGATGTCCACGGTGACGTAGCCCTGCAAGGCGTAGCTGAAGAACATGGCCATCGCAAACATTCCCATCACGCACTGTGGCAGGCTAAAGGAGAAAGGAGAATGGATCCAACTGGACGTAGCTGTCTTCAACTCACATTTCGAGGGGCGGCAGGTTGTGCAGAATCGAGTTGGCCGTGTCCCTCCCGTATTGCCAGTAGCCAAAGAACCCAAACGATGCATAGAAGAGGACCACGAGGACCATGGCCCGATTGAGGACCCCGCAGGAGCCCAGAAAGTTCTCTGGATGCCGCATGCTGCGCTGCAGAGCTAAAATCTAGGGGCGAGCAAACCACAAATGAGTTGGCAAAAGGATTCTAAAGGGAATTCCAAAAATATCCTACAACACCGAGAGATTCGATGGCAAACAGAACAGTGCCAAAGAATAGAGGGAACTGCGTCCAGTGCTGTGTGGCCTGCCGTCCCTCCAAGCTGGGCAAATCCTGCACAAGATACCAGAAAATGATGCCAAAACCTAAAGGAAGACGTGGCGATAGAAAGGATCAAAGATCGAGGACTGAAGCTCCGAAGCTCAATCACCCACTGGCGACAGTCAGGATATTGGAGATGACAGTAAACGGCAACAGATACTTCAGATTCCTCACGAGGAACGTGAGTATCAGAGGGAGGATCAGCAGGGCCATATACAGACGCAGATCCATGGGATAAAGGTACAGATCCCCCAAGAATTTTAGGTTCTTGGCTATAAACACAATGTAGACACAGTCCACGCCGAAATGATACGCACACATCAGTATGTCCACGAAGTAACTGAAGAATCAGGTTAAATACAGATGGAATATAGTGAGGGCCTCATTGGACGAACCCCAGGGGCCTGCTCATGCAGTGCAGCCATGTGGGGCCATCGAGAAGGGCCAGTTCCATGGTCTCCCTGTAGCTGAGGACTGCCATCCGATGGCGTCTGCACAGATGCTGGATGTCATTCAACTGCAGGATAAGGAACTCCCCAGGATAAGAAGGGCTCTGGCTATGCCTCTGCCTCTGCTCTACCTACCAGCACATGCATGGCATACACCACAATGAAGCCGATCAGAACGGTGGCAAGAAGGCCTATTAGCCATCCGGCGTTGTAGAAGGCTCGTGGCATGGCCAGGCATCCAGTGCCAAAGGCGCACTTGACCAGATTGAGGAACGTCTCCAGATCCCTAAAGAAAGGGTAGAATAAAGAGCGGCGGCACCATGGTGGATGAAATGCTCTTTCTCACGTCATTGTGCTCTCCACATCGGGTCGCAACACCTGCGCCTCATAGACCAAAGGGGATCTTTTTGGGGGCAGAGCAACACCATTAGGAGAGGGTTCTGTTCTCTTTAGATCTTTGAAGCTCACCCCATGCTCCTTTGAGCCACACCCAGGGCCCGGACATGGAAGGGCACCAGATTCCTCTTCAGCTCCGGATCCATTCTGATGGCCAGTCGGTGGCGACGCCCGCGCACCTTCTTTTGCTGTTGCTGTTTCTGCTGCGACGACAGCATTCTCTGGATCTCGATATCGATATCAGATCTTAAAATCGAAATCTTATAATCAAAAACGAAACGAACTTTCAGCACCGACTGCTGGGGTCTCTCTCTCTCTCTCTCTTTCTCTCGCTCTCGCTCTTTCTCTGTCTCTCTGTCCAATTATGCAAATGTGTTGACGAGGCATTGGCTTTCCCTCGGGTTACGTAGTGATCTTTGGAATCTGTTGGCCAGCTTCCAGGAAGGGTCTCTCGGCCTCTCGGCCTCTCTGTCTCTCGGTCTCTTGTCTTGAGAGATATTAGCATGGCCCAAAGCCATGGACTCTTTCCAGGAAATCAAGCACAGTCGCAGCCCAGTCCCCGCCTCCTCTTCGATGCGGTTTTCTGTGTGGGGGCGTTCTCTAGGCTGTGGCCAAGGAATTTGCTACCTAAATTATGCCACAGCCTGAAGCATCCACCGCAGTATCCTCCTCTCTCTCTCTCCCTCACGGTCTATCGGTCTCTCTGTCCCTCTCTGGCGATACAAACTAATTAGTGTGGCAGGGGCTGGGGCTGGGGCATTTCTCAAATGCCACTTGGCCATAAATTCTATAAAAAACAAACTACAGTTTCTAGTTAAGGCCCCTCTTCGCTGGTCTCTGGTCTCTGGTCTCTGGTTTCTGGTCTCTGTGGTCATTGTGTGGGGCCGCAGCGATCACCCGCTGTGGGCCTGGCACCTTCGCCCTTGCCTTTGCCTTTCAATTTCTTTGCTTTTGCTTTTGCTTTTGCTTTTTCTTGTGCAGTGCCGAATCGAAAATGCAAATTTTCCGGCTTTTCGCAGCCGCAGCGGCAGCAGTGACAAGTACGAATCGAAGGGGGGGCCAGAAGTCAATCTGTTAGATTTGTTTGCTTTTAGCTATTCCATTTCCTTGCCTATTTTCCCACTCGTGTGTATGTGTGGGGCTTCGAGGAGAGAGTCGATCGGTGGGAACACCTGCGAGGGGCACTTCTATTGCCAGAGCTCTCTCCAAGGGAACACTCAATCAAAAACAACCAATAAAGTGTTCCTCAAATGCAAATGCATGGCAACGTAGACCAACAAAATACCCCACTTTGGATGTGATAGAATGCCCTTTCAGTGGACTAGTGGACTGACCGGTGCGTCTTACCTTTATTTGTAGTTGTATTTAGTTTATTTAAGAAGAGTAAAAAAAAAAGAAAAATATTTGCCAATATTAATGGTTAGCGGTTCAACTGGCATTGACCTTGAGCCTGTGTGTGATGGTGGTGTCGGCAATGTCCTCCTGCGGCTGGTCCTTGTCGCCCCATCCCCACACGGGGTGGCTGCCATCGCCAGTGCGCTTGATCCTTTGGCGGAGCATCTCCGTGGAGACGCTCTTCAGGTCGTAGGCCCAGCCAATGCGGGCGAAAAAGTCGATAAAGTATGTGGTGGCATCGCGCGAATACTTCCCCAGCTCGGCGCTCTTGTAGTCCCAGGGGAAGACGTGGTGGTAGTTGTGGTAGCCCTCGCCCACGCGGAACCAGATGAGGAATGCCTCGTCCGTGGGGGAGATGTTCTTGTCGTACGGCCGCTTGCCGTACATGTGGGCGGAGCTGTTCACCAGCCACACGATATTGAGGCTGGCGCACCACCGGAGGAGGGTGAAGCACGACCACGAGCAGATCAGGGACTCGCCCCAGTAGTACATCGGCACGACGGTGGGCAGCACGAAGCAGATGAGCGGCATGAGGATCAGGTAGTGCTTCTTCTGGAACATCACCAGCTTGTCGTTGCGCAGGTCCGAGAGATCGATATCCCTGCCCTTGATCGTCACATCCGGATGCTTCTTGCAGCACAGCCAGCCGATGTGGGCGAAGAACCAGCCGCGCTGCGAGTTGTAGGGATCGGCGTCCGTCTCCGAGTACTTGTGGTGCAGGCGGTGGTCGCGGGCCCAGTAGTAGACGGCGTCCTGGAAGGCCAGCGTGTTGAGGAACATGAAGATCAGCCTCAGCGGCGTGTTGGCCTTGAACGTGCGATGCGCCCACAGGCGATGGGCTCCTCCGGATATCCCCAGAATGGTGAGCACCAGTGCCGCGGGGAATAGCACCACTGTCTGCCACTTGGCGGCGGTGAAGAGCAGCCACACGCCGTACAGCGAGGACACATGTAGGATCGTGAACAGGGTGATGTTCAGCCACAAGAGCTCCAACTTGTGGTTCGGATCGGGTATCTTCTTCAGAACCGTTGCCGCGGCGGTATCGCCCTCGAAGAGCACGCCCGTGGTGTCCGTGGGATAGCTATTGGGTGGCATCGTGCACTGCAAACTGGGGGGTTGGTCCCAAAACACATCTACTTATAGCGAAGCGGCGCCCGATTAATATTCAAAAATATTCGGCGTCGGCATGCCCCCCTCCCGTCTCCCGTTCCCGTTGCCATCGACATCGACATCGACATCGACATCGACATCGTCATCGCGTTTTCGTATCATCGGGGCGTTCGAGAACCCGGACCTAGGTCCGAGGTAGTGTCCGGCGATCCATTTCACAAATTGTAAATTTCAAGTACTAAATGTTAAACTATGCGCATAGATGATCGTCACGAGATGTTACACGTGATTGCCAGGGACGGGGCAATGGTGGAATGGTGCAGCGCTGCAGCGGTGCAACGGTGCAACGGTGACTGTGTTGCAGTTAGACTGTGTTGCAGTCGACAGTGGTGGCGCATCATTAAAGTGCTGCAGACAAATGGCCGCGCGGCATGTGCGGCACATGTCAAGAGAGCTGCACCAGCAGCAGCAGCGGCAACAGGTGAAAATCTGGCTGGAATTCTGATTATCTGCAGCTTCTGGTTGCTGCCGCTGCGGTGATTGGCAGCAAACTGTTGCTGCAACTGCTGCTGATGTTGCAGGCAGCAACTTAAACTGTAACTTTCAACGATTTGTCGTCAGCGTCTTCTGTCTTCTGTCGTCTGTAGGCAGCGTCTTCTGTCTTCTGTCTTCTGTCTTCTGCCTTCTGTCGTCTGTCGTCTGTGTGCCACTTTGATGTTTGGCCACAAAAGTGGAAAGCAACATGCGCATAATTACGATTCAGCCAACATGGGGTGCAACATTCCTTGACCACCATCTCCACACCCCTGCCTCTGCCCCTTCCGCTGCCCCTTGTCTCGCGCTCTCTGGGGGCCACGCCCTCAATTCAATTTACAGCCGGAAGTGTGGGTGTATACTTATTTGATATACATTCCTCTTCAGTACGCGTATTCCAATTCTTGTTCTTGTTCTTGTTCTTGTTCTTGTTCTCGTTTCGCGGTTCGCGTTTCGCGTTTCGATGTTCTCTCCTTTCGCGCAACTCATTTGCTGCTTCATAAATCAGGAATCGCAGCAGCAGCCGCCTCAAAACTCCCGCATAAAAAAAACTCCTGTATGAAAAACGCATTTAATGATTGGGGAACAACAGCAGCAGCAGCAGCGGCAACAACAGCGGCAACAACTACATAATAGGCCGCATCTTGAGGCAGCAGCAGCAGCAGCAGCAGCAGCAGCAAAAAGTGGGAGGATGCAGTGGATTCTCCCTCTTTTCGCTGCCTCTCTATCTCTGGTGATGGTTTTGCGATACACTTTCTCTGGACGGCACTATGGCCCTCCAAAGGCGTTTTGCAATGCCAAAAATAACAGATCCAAGATCGGTTTGGCAGCAATTGCTGGGAAAAGATGATTTTCCGATGGAAACTTGAGTGTTACTCTTAAAGAAATTGCTTAGTGTATGTTTAATTTCGATTATATTCAAATTGGAAAAACATTCAAAGTGCTTTTATGGCCTCCGGTTGTGCGAGAATTTCATGAAAAGGTGGATATATCCACGAAATGTATCCGTTTATGAGAGTTTTCTTCCCGTGAGAATAGCTTCCCTATGAAAGGCGTTCGTTAAGGAAGAAGTTCTCCTGTAACTTCCACAGAGTATCCATAACTTCGACTAGTAAAAGCCCACAAATGTTCCTTCTCTTGTTTTTAATGCCATTTGTTGCTGCCGCTGCCGCTGTTGCTGCTGCTGCTGCTGCCACTGCCACTGCCACTGCTGCTGCTGCTGCTGTTGTCGGGCCGTTTGCCTTTTTGGGGCCCGTGAGGCATTCGCCTAAGCGGCAGGTTCCTGTCTCCGTCTGCTACCCCATCCAGGGAGGAGACGTCGACGACGTTGACTGCATTTTTAAGCGCGCTCTGCGCATAAAATAAAGCCAGATTGCAGGCATCTCTTGCCTTGGGGGCATCATCCTCCTGCCTCCTGCCTCCTACCCTCATACCTCCACTGCCCCATTCCCCAATCGGTGGAACGTACTACCTGTGGCAAGGCTTGCCTGAAAGATCTTGAATGGAAGCGAAGAGTAAAAGTGCAGGATGCTTTGTAGTCCTGCCCCCCCCCCGTGCTCTGCTGCACGCCCCCTCCTATCGGAAGAGCTTCTGCAGAAACAGCAGCTAATTTTCGACGGGGCAGCCACAAAAAAAATGAATACCGATTGGGGCATCCTCAGCACAGCAGAGAAGCAGAGACAGAGAGAGAGGGAGGTAGGGAGGCAGGGAGAGAGACAGAGACAGAGACAGAGAGAGAGAGATCTTCGAGCGATAATGATGCAAGGTTAATCATTAGCCTGGAACGTGTATTATGCGATTATTAGTTGGGGGCAAGCACCGGAGAGGTGCACCCAATCCTTGCCACAGCCCCAGCATCGACTTCCAGCCTCGATTGGGGATTACACTCTTTTTTTTTTTGGTGGGCGTTTGCTCTGGCTTTTTTTCGGACCATTTCGCGGTAATTTCCAATTTCCGTTGCAATCTGTGGGGATCTGTGCGATCGGAGCAGCGGATTGGGGAGTTCTATATGCAACATGCCGCCAATTTGTCAACGCGGGCAACATGTGGTTGCTGCAGCATGTAAGTTGTCAGCGTTTTTAAGAATCAATTGCCGCCCAACAGCAGCAGTTGCTATGGAAATCTCTGCTCTGGAAATTCGATATTTCCCGGGGCCCCGCCTGCCCCAGCAGCCTGCCCCCTGCCACACGGCCCCCACAAGTCGGGGAGCCTGAAGGCGGCCTTGAAAAGCAATACTTGGCGCAAAATCATTGCAGAATTGTAAATGAGGGGCAACCTCATAGGCCCTGCCCAGCCCTGCTCTGCCACACACTGTTGCTGTTGCTGTTGCCTGTTGCTGTTGCCTGTTGCTGTAGTACACACATATTTTGAGGTAAAAACGCTCGCTCAACTGACATGCAACATGATTTTGTAGGCGTGCAACATGCGCATGCGCAACAGCCGCAGCTTTATCAGATTCTGCAGTCTCCACTGTTGCTGGTGGTGTTTTGTTGTTGTTTTTGCTGTGAGAGTTGCCGCATGTTGTCGACTGTCAATTGTTTTGTGGGCGTTGCAGCAGCAGCCAGCAGCCAGCAGTTGCAACCAGCAACCAGCAACAATAGTCGCAACAAGAGTCGCCACAACACACACCAATCTGTCGCACAGAGCCACAGACTCCCAGAGTCTGGCGGTGGGGCAGAGGGGCAGGGCAGCAGACTTTTGGAGGCTATATCAATGTCAACAGCATTATCACACCGCGCTGTCAATATGCAAATGCATAGAGCAGACAACGGAGTCCCACTAGCCCCACCAGTCGCAGCAGCAGCAACCCACCGAGCACCGAGCACCGAGCACCGAGCACCGAGCACCAAGCACTTGCCACAACCAACTGGCAGCCAGGCAACAGAGAACAGAGAACAGAGGACAGAGGACAGAGAACCCAGCCAGCAAACGATTGTCTCCCTTCCCCCCTGAGTTCCGTTCGTCCTCCTGCAGACTCCTTTAGAGCATGTGACACTCGTTAACACGCAGCGAAAATGCGCGAAATGCGATATTTCACACGATTTATGCGCGATGCAACGACGAAAAGTTGCAACCTATGGGGGGGGGGGAGGGGGGCAGCAGCAGCAGCATCAGTAGGAGCCCGAGGACCACACGCATTGCTGGGTAGCCGGTGGAGGCTGCTGCTGGGGCTTTAGGCCTGGAAAAGTCATGGGAAAGGGAGTTCCCTGAAGGCTGCTTCCCTGCTGCAGCTTCGAAAATGTTGTTCTTGCAACAGAAGAAACATCCCACTTAAGGTGTAGGAAAATGATTAGCCGGAAGAGTGCGGCTGCCGCTGCTGTCCGCCATATGCCACAAATAGTATTAGTTGCTGCTGCTGACTGGCTGCTGGCTGCTGGCTGCTGGCTGCCACTGCTAATGGGGCATGTTGCTGCTGCCTTGCTGGCTTGCTGGCCTGCTCGCTTGCTAATTTGACAGAAAGACTTCCAAAGATTGGTGGCAGAGTGGCAGCGAGCCATGATTTATGCGCTGCCAATTGGTTGTGGCAACATTTGCCCATATACATAATTGAAATGTAATAAATTCTGCAACCGCTGCTGCTGCTGCTGCTGCTGCTGCTGCTGTTGCAGCTTTTCGTGCACAATTAGCGGCAGCAACAGGCAGTTGCTGTGGCAAGCATCAGCATCAGCATCAGTGGCATCCACTAACGACAATTGCTGACCATTTTCCATGACTCCTCGTTGCTTGATTATTAAATAAATAATAATCATAGAGCGAACTGCTGCTGCTGCTTCTGCTGCTTCTGCTGCTGTTGCAGTGGCAATGTGGCGGTGTGGCAGGAGGCTGGCTCTGCCTTTGGGTTTTACAAGTTGTAAAGTGCGAAATCAACACGCTTCATGCCACAAAACTACAACTACAGATCTCTGGACAGGCTGCCACACAGTGGCCATCGGTGGCACGTCCGAGTGTCCCAGTGTCCGCCGTGTCCGCCGTGTCCGCCGTGTCCGCCGTGTCCGCCGTGTGTCTGTCCACTATGTTAGTTGTCAACACAAATGGCAATCGGCGTTGATAAATTGTTGCAGCCTTGGGCCAATTATAACCGTGTTTGGGCTTGGGCTGAATATAGCTGCCACATGCCACAGGCCACAGCCACAGCCACAGCCACTACTCGTATGCCTCTTGCTGTTGCGCTGCTTCTCGTCCACACTCTCGTCTCTGATATCGCAAGGCCTTGCTGGTCCTCTTTCGTATGCAGATATCCATTCATCCATCCACAAGCTTCCTGCGAAGCCCCGCAACAGTCCTCCTTCCGGTGGCTGCCACTCGTGTGTGGGTGCAACACTGTACAAGAAGAAGCCACCGAGCGATATCTGAAATTCAATACCCGGATCAATCTCCGCTTTCAACAACTCTTTCAAATTTCTGTCGTGTCGTTTTCCTCTTTAGATAATTTGTCTGCCACAGAGCTAAAAAA